AACCTGCATCCGTAGACATTCAAATGATGCTGCCTGGAAAGACGGCACAGTGGCAACTTCGATGTTTTACTCTGTGATTAGGAACTGATAATAAATGTTTGATTCGTCCCGAAAATAAGACCGAAAAAACCTACGGCAGCTGTCTTCACAGAGCAAACCTGGTCGTAAGCACCCCGATGTTGGACAGGTGTGGGGTGGGACAGGCAGCGAGAGGCACCAAGGAGGCCTGGGGCGCGTGTAGGACAGAGGCCCCTGGAAAGGGCCTGGGCTCGGGGGGCGGTGTGGAGTCGCGATTCTGCAGAAGGAGCCGGGGAGCATATGACTTGGGATTCAGCAGGAATCTACCCGGAGAAGCCTCCCCCAGCACTCACATCCTTCTGCCCTGAACCATATGCTAGTACACAGTTTCACTTCTCATCCCATCTCTATATGTTCATTCATCTATTTACCCTGTACTGTACCCTGGACGGTAGTGTGGACTCAGGTACCATTTCCTGACCGAAGTCTTCACCACCCTCCCATCTTCCTGGGTAAATCCTTCCGCGCCCCCATGACCGGGAGCCGTGTTTGCTGATCCCTTATAAGTCTGGGGCGGTTCAGCTCACAGACAGTTCCTGTGTCTCGAGTCCCTCTTAATATTGATTGCAGCCTGTGAATGATCCCCTAAATCCATATCAGACACTTCCGTTGAGAATGGGCAGATTTGCCAAGACGGGCCCATTCCTGATTCTAAATGGTGCTAACAGGTGGGGTGGCCACTTGCAATCTAATTAGCATGATACAGATGTGACAAGAGCTGCTGAGTCCTCTGCTGTCACAAACAGGAGAATTGGCCAGCTTCATGCGGACCAGACAACGACATTTTTAGTAGACTGTCTTAGTCAACATGCCGCTGACCACCAGGAGACAGAGCTGAGCATTAATCACATTGAGACTGAAGTTATTGGCGATTGGATAATGCTCAATCACCCTCAGAGAGTCTGTGTTCAGCGGGTTTGCGTGGCTAGAGCTAAGCTGTCCCGGTGGGGGCCCCGACACATGTAGGTAAAGACAGCTGATTTTTATGGGAGCAGCAGGCAGCCAGCCAGGAAGCTGCCACGACTTTTGAGGCTTCTCCCTCGCAGGTGTGTTCGGGGTGCTGTTCTGATGGGAGGGGCCACACCTCTGATGCTGCATGCACACGGAAGGCGTGTTCTAGAGAAGCCCACGCGAGGCTAACGCGCCCAGACCCGGGCCCAGAGGCGTGCGGTGGCCCTCCGCTCCACCAGGGAAGGTGCCAAGGGGCCATGCTCCTGTTTAGTTATTCATGATTAATTTCAAGCCCTCAAGTCAGACTGACGGGGAGCCCCGGCACCCCCCCCACGGAGCCGGCCGCTCTGGGATCCAGCTTCCAGAAGGCACCCCGTCGCGTCTACATCTCCAGATCCCGGCAGAGGGCTCCCCCCCACAATCTGTGATCACTCCACCCACGGTCACCCGGGATTCTCCTGCGCCAAGTCCTAATGACGGTGGGGTTCGGTCCACAGAGAAGAGCAAGAAAAGCCCCTGTCTCGGGGCAGGAAGCCACCGGCCATCTGGAGAGCTGTTGCCAAGACTTCGAGCATGAAACAATGCTCGTTTAAAACAAAATGCTCCTCCTGGTTTGACAGTTTTTGGCTCTCTGGCCATCATGGCACCACGGCCACGTTAGGATCCCTTTTGGGTCCCGGCGGGCAGGGTCTGACTTCGTGACTCTGAACTTGGAGCGAACAATTTCCACCTGCTCCCGCAGCTCATTAGAGGCGGTTGAGCAGCCGGCACAACTCAAGGACATGGCCCTCCGTGGGGATCTGTCGCATCGCCTGTCAGCGAGGGGGAAGGAGGCTGTCAGGCTGTGCACTTCACCCCCAAAGTCATCACAAGGAGCAAAACAACAACAACAACAACAACGAGGGAAGATGAGCACCCGGGGCAAGAACTGAAGAGAAAGCCGGCCTGCAGGGAGCGGGAGGGAAGGGGGTCCTTTGCGGCTGGGCTCGCCGCCGACGGGGGAGGGGCAGAGGTCTCGACCTTGAGCTGACGGCGGGAGTGTGGCTGCTGGAACCACCGGAGCACCAGCTGGAAGAGTCGGTCCCGATCCCCTTGCTGCCGGCCTTCCTGACCTGAGGTCTTGTGTTGTGGGCCCGGCCCGGCCAAGCCTGGTGCACGGAAGATAAGCCCCATGCCCCCAAGCGCCAAGCCTGGTGCACAGAAGATGAGCCCCATGCCCCCAAGCGTGGCGGCCCCAGGCCTGACTCAGACATCCAAACGCTTCACTGCAGAAGAGTCACGGGCCACGTCAGCTCAGGAGCCACAGACCACATCAGTGTCCACTAACGGGGCCTCGGCCCCACGAGAGAGGCTCCCAAAGGCGCAGAGCATGGTGACTCGGGGCGGCGGGGGGGGGGGGGGGGGGGGGTCTGTGATGGCCGCCCCCTCCACAGCCACCCGTCCTCGAGAGGGTGCCCCCGGGTGACGAGGTTCCAACTTTGCCTCTCATTTTGGCCACCCAGCTGCCACGTCACCCAGGAACCACCTTCTCTGTGGGCACACGCTTTGGGCGCCCAAGTATATCGCATTCCTTCTGAGCCTCTGCAGGCATGCCTCAGTGCCACTCCTGGGGGCACTGTGGGGGGACACCCGTGCCCCGTAAGCCAACTGGTCTAACTGGTCGGATCCGGTAGCAAAGTTGAAACTCTGTCCCCACCGCAGCAGCTGGTGATATGCCCTGAAATACGGGCTCCATTTACTGGGATATAGAAATGGGCCAGATAAATGGAGGCAGGTACTTCAGAATTCCACATTAATGCGCGGGGCCGTAAATACTAACCAATATTGATGGCAGAGATCTAAATTCAGATTTTCTTCTTGGAAACGGCAATAAATAACACGAAACATTTTATACTTCAGAAGCCTTATTTGCTTGGAGCATCAAAACAGATATAAATGTCATTTCTTCAAGGAGCAGAGAACAGCTCAATCTCCCCACAAGGGAGTTCCTGGTGAGATGCTGGGAACAGAGGGGGCGGCCCCGGGGGAACCCACAGACCGTGGCCGGGGCCACGCCGACGTGTGGCTCGCCCCATCTGCTCTGTGGAAAGGCCCCGCGGTGGCAGGACCAGGAGTGGCCCTGACGCAGTCCCTCCGGCAGGACCGCGGAGGCACGACAGGATGCGGGGGATGCGCAGAGGGGAGAGGTGAGCCGCCGGAGGCCTCCGGGACAGACCCCCTGACGGTGCGTGCCGGGCCCACCTCATTTCGCCAGCCTCCTCGAATGAGAAGCACCATCCACCCGACACAGGTGACGAAACGGAGGACCGGAGCCGGTGAGGAAGACACGGAAGGCCCGGGTCCACGCACCTGCGGGAGGCAGCGGGAGATCACATCCTCCTGCCCGGACCCCGCACTCCCTCCCGTCCCACTGTCCGACCCGCAGAGCCCCCAGGAGGGACGCACGGGGTGGGGGGCGCGGGAGAACGCGGTGTGCGGGCACGTGCCCAGGAGGGATGCGGGGTCCCCGGTGGGTGGAGGCGGGTTTGGGTGGGGGTTTGGCGGATACGGCCGACCGCTGCCGTCGCACTTCCACATCCGTGAACGCACCTGCTCGCCACAATTTACTTGTAACCCCAAACCAACGCCTGGAGTGAGTTTGCAATCATCCCGGGCGCGCTCCGGGCGGTGAGGGGTTTGAACGGCCCCACGTGCGCGCTCCCGGCCGAGGTCACACACGCGACACGCCGCCTTCCTGACTCGCTGCTGAGACTACGAGCAGGTCTCACGCCACGGTCTGTTGAGTTCCAGACTTTTCACATCTTCGTGCTGTTTGCGGGTGATTTTGCGGCTTCACTGGCCCCTGGGCACCGTGTTGAGGTGCCGTCCAGGGGTCCTGCGCGCCAGAGGCTGAGGTGCGTGCTCCTTCTGGAGGAAAAACGTGTGTTGGATAAGCTTCCTCGGGCGCCAGTGGCGGTGCTGTTGGCCGTGAGCTCGACGTGAACAAAACCACCACACGCGTTACACGAGGTATCTGTCAACAGCATGGGCGCAGCAAAGTTACGCATTAAGAGACATGCCGTGACGGCAGGCCTGTGGGACCCAGACCCCGCGTCTCCTCTGAGCCGTGGCTCTGTGCTCGCAGATCCACCGTCTGGTGCCACGGACTCAGTCGCCCCAGTGACGTGCACCACAGAGCAGGTCCGACGGGAATGCGGCGTTGCAGGCCACAGGACCCCGCTGTGCTGGCTTCGTCCGGGGCCTTCGGTCATCTCCACTGTCCCCAGGACGACCCGAAAAACGGGAATCCTTCCTCTCACTAATCCCCCGGGGACTGAAGTCTGGAAACCCTGTCACCGGCCAACGGCACACAAGCGACAGGTAAGGGTGAAGCCTCAAACCCAGGCCGGACCCGGGGCGCCTCGCCCAGAGCACACATTGCTGGCCCCTGTGCAGGACCCACAGACCAGCGAGGAGCGGGGAGCCTCACGGACAATACTACTGCTGTGTCGGGGCCCCGGGGACAGGGCATGCCTGCTGAAAGCCTGGGGGGGGGGGCCCACCTGGAGAGGTGACCTGGAAAGGCATCGTCCGAGGCCAACCACCTGCGTGCGACAGCGTTCTGACCAGCATTTTACAGTCGGACCGCGGAGAGGCGTCCAGAGAGGCTCGGCGCAGAGATAAGCCCTTCCCGGGAGGCGGTGCCCTCGGCCCTCGTGGGGGAACTTCCCAGCAGACGGACCTGATGGAGACCAGGGCTAGCAGACCAGGGATTATCTCCAAATGCAGGGAGGGGACCCCCAGGCAGCCAAGGGCCTCCGTGGAGGCAGAGAGGACGGAGCAGAGCCCAGAGGACAGAGGTGATGTGCATGCGGCCCGCGTGAGACAGGGACGTCGCATCTCATGAGCAAACCGGGAAGCACGGGTTGACCAGGCCGAGGCTTGAGGAGGCGGCAAGGAAGCGGCATCGGAGAGGCCCCGGACGTCCGTACGGGCACCGGGTCCGCCATGCGCAGTCCCGTCACCTGCAGAGCCAGGCCGCGGACCCCTTCTCTGGAGCAAGGGCCCGGAGTGACGGGCCTTGTAGGAGGGACATGGGGTCCTGAGGAGACGACGGGCACGAAGAGGCTCACAGAGCTGCAGGCGTTACCGATGCGTGACACTTCCGTGTCACTGCTCAGGCTCCCTCGGGTTCGGCGTTTTCTCGAGTGCAGGGTAGCTGTTCCTAAATTCACCCTCAGCTTTGCAGACAGACCGAAACTAGCTGCAGAAAACAGGCACCCCCTTAGGAATCTCTGTAGGCGGATCATCTGACTGATCTCCCGCCTCTGGGTGGGGACTCGGGCCAGAAGATCTGTCTCTGGAAGCCTGTGACAGGTTCCTCACCCGAGGGGGATCACAGCCGTTCCGCGGCTGGTCACGCTTACCTTTCATCGTAACGGTTAATATTAAATCACACTAGTTATGAAAATGCAGGCCACGAGTCCATCAGTCTGTGCTAACAGCTACCCAGCTCTCCGTAAAACTCATCCATGAGAACGGGACACTTTGAATGTGTTCCTCTCAACCGCAGGCCGAGCTGCTGTGCTACTTACCATGACACTTGTGGAAGCCTTGGCGGGTGGCCCACTGCTGAGGACCCGGCCGCCCCCGGCAGGCAAGAGGCCCGGCTTGAGGGTGACGGGGGGGTGTCAGGACCACCCACAGCCAGGCACCCCCTGCACAGGTGCAGACACTCAGGGGCCCTCAGCCCCCGGACGGCACCCGGGATTGGCCCCAGGACGGCGGGCCACCTTGCAGACAAGGGCCGTCCTCCGTCCCCCGTGCCCATAGCTCCGTGACCGATCCCCACACAGCTGACTCAAGTGCAGGGCGGTAGCCGGAAGACAGGATGTCTCTGTCACTTGCTAAGATTGTGCCCGTCACGTGAGGTTTGTAATCAGGTGCCCAAGCTCAGGGCAATTACAAAACCAAGATGCAGCCAGTTTTGCCAAGCGGGAATCGGACTTACTCTATTCTCTGTTTACCAGCCCGTCGGGGGAGAAAACTCAGGACCAGTGGCCGGCAGGAGGCGGGAACTTGGCCAACGGGGACGGCGCACCGAGGAGCCATCCTCGGGGACCCCGTGCTGTGGCAGGAAGGAGCCTCCGGTTCCCTGCAACCAGCCCCAAACCCGCGGACTCGGGGTGTGAGCGATGTGGTGGTGAGCCGGTGTCTGGAGCTCAGGGGCCCGGGGCCTTGTCCGTGGGGTCCCGCTCCCTGCCACTCTCACGTCCACCCACCGGCTGCTGAGAGGGTCAGACGGGGGATCGGAGCCCGCCGGGGAAGTTCGGGGCCGCCGCTGGGTGACCGCAGGGGGGTGACATGCATGGAGCGTCAGCTTCGTTCTCGTCACGTCAGCTGGGCCACAACCCAAACGGAGGAGACCATCCACGGACATGGTGTGAGTGAAAGCGTCACTTGTGGGTCGACTTGCGTCCCCAGAAGATGGGCTGAGGGCCTAAGCCCCAGAGCCTGTGAATGTGACCCTATTTGGAAATAGAGTCTTGTAGATACAATCAGGTTCAAATAAGGTCATGCCTGATTAGGGTGGGCCCCAAATCCAAGGCCTAGAGTCCTTCTAAGAAGAGGGAAGTTTGGGCACAGAGACGCACACAGGGAACGCCATGCGAACGCAGAGTCAGAGAATGAAGCCATGCGTCTACAAGCCAAGGGCCAGCAGGGCCAGAGGATGCTACACCTCCAGGGGGACCCCCATCCCCTCCCGCACCGTGACTATGAGCTTCTGGCCTCCAAACTGCGAGACAGTATATTTCCTTCTCTTTTAAGGCACCAGATCGGGTGCTTGGTAGAGCGGCCCCTGGGGGCTGGATTCCCCAGGGGAGCCACACGTGTGCTGCCCACGCCCCCTCTCAGAGGGCCGGCTGCATCCACTGAATGGAACCACGGAGCTGCACTGCCGGGGGATGTGACGGATGAACTGTCACCACACCCCTGGGAAAGCTGCCAAGGACATCAGCAAACACTTTTCAGATTTTAACACGTGCATCCCAATAAACAACAAACTGAGCCCTGAGTTCAACACGATGCTGCAGACAGCGTGTTGCAGGACGAATGAAGCTCCCTGCTGGGTTGCGCGTGGCCGTCCCCAGCCAGCTTGCGCCCGGGCAGCCGTGCTCACGTAAGAGAGAAATAACCTCTCGGTTCACGGCCGCGGACGGGATGCTTCAGACAGCATTGCCCCCAACCCCCAACTCCAGCCCTTCCAGGCATAGGAATTTAAAGAAAAAAAAGAAACAAGTTTTCACTTTATTATTCATAAGATCGTCACATTGCTTCAAGCGTTAACTTTCTAGAAAAGTACGATTTCTGTAAAAACGCGCTAATGTGAGGCACAGCCGCTCTTGGCAGGAGGCAGGAACGTGGATCTCCCAGAAAGAGCGGAGGAGGGGTGCTAATGGGATCAGCAGAGTTTCGAGCGCCAAGAGGGGAGGTGACACGGGAACCAGAGCCAACGGGAGCGCCACTCACAACGCGGGTTGACTCGAGCCGGTGATGTGCCCACAGCCCTCCGGGCGCCGCCCCGGAATCGAGGAGGTTTGCTGCTCTGACTTAGCCGCCTTCTGGCATCTTCCCCCCACGGCCTTCGGCACTGCCTCCAAACCTGCTGGCGCTGGCCGCCTCTCCTCATTGTCACCGGGGCTGGGGCTAAACCCAGGATGCTGTGAAGCCGTGTGAACCCTGGTGCGGGGGTCGGGGGAGAGCTGCCTTCGCCTCGGGAAGGTGCTGCCTGGTGCTGCACCTACCGCCCCCAGGTGGCGGCGTGCGGCCTCGTCTTCCACACCCGTCCCGGGCTCCCCCCTGGGATTTCGAGCCCAAAGCAGGGGTCAGCGAACCTTCCCCGTAAAGGACCAGACAGGGAATACTTTAAGCTTTGTGGGGCAGGCCGCCTCCGGCACAGGGCACAGGCGACCTAGACATCAGGTGCGCACGCGGGCGCTGGGCCCCTGTCCCTCACCTGTGGACGCTGTGTCCCCGCAGAGCCGTTCTTCTGTCGACGTTTTCGATGATTTACAAACACGGCCTGCTTTCCCCATCACTGTGGTATCTTACTTCCCTGCTGTGGGATTTTCTGAAGGTGTGTTTTGCATGTCTTCTGAAATCTCCATTAGTTATTAGATTTTATAACTATATTTCATTTAAAAATCTCGTGTTGGTACCTGTATAAATTTACTGACTTATGCATTTAATGATGACAAAATATAAAGTGATGTTTAGGGGCGCCTGGGTGGCTCAGTCGGTTGAGTGTCCGACTTCAGCTCAGGTCACGATCTCACGGTTTGTGAGTTCGAGACCCGCCTAAGGCTCAGTGATGAGAGCTTGGAGCCTGTTTCGGATTCTGTTTCCCTCTCAGCCCCTCCCCCACTCACACTCTGTCTCTTTCTCTCTCTCTCTCTAAAAAATAACCATTACGAAAAAACTTTACACTTGTAGGTTTTATTTTATTTTTTTAATGTTTATTCATTGTTGAAGAGAGA